ATATATATATATATATATATCCCTTGAATCCGTGTAACCTAATATATCTGAAAGCCATTCATCAACAAAATCTATCTATCTCTATCTTATGGTTTCCTGTGTCCGTAGGTGATCACTGTGATAATGTGAAACATGTAAATTGATTGTATTATTATTTTCGTTTTGCATTATTAACGTGTGTATGAAATCGTTAATTGTTTGTTGAAGAGCTTAAACCCTAACAACTAGTTTTGTAGAATGTTGACCGAAGGTTACCGTTACCATAAGAATTTACACGAACCCTTGGCCAAAAGAAACCTGAAGCGGTGAAGCAAGAAGACTAGATTAGCAGGATATTGGCATGGTAAGATTTATATAGGCAAGGAAAGTAACTTATAGTATCGTCAATGTCAAGACTACCTACGGCCTGATAAAGATGTTATCTAATATGCAGGAAAAAACATCAGCCTCAAATAAGGTTTTCTTGATATAACAGTTGGTTAACACGAAGATGAAGGAAGGCGACTCGGTGACAAATCACGTGAAATAATTTAATTTAATTATATCAAGGCTAATTTTGGTTGATATTAAGTTTGAGGATGAAGTCCAAGCCATTTTATTATTGTCATATTTTCCTAAAAGTTGGTGTGGTATATAGTGACAATAATTTATAGTTCATGTGGAATTACTAAGTTGACATTTGAAGGAATTTGTGATCTAATCCTTCGTGAGGATATTCACAAAAGGAATGTAGGGAAACATACAACGGTCTTTTGAGTGCAGAAGGCAATGGAAAAAAACCAACATAGGAGGCGGTGATAGAGGAAGATCAAAATCTAGGAAAATAGGTTAGTAGAAGAATAGGAAAGATATTACCTATTGGAATTGCAAGGAGAGTGTTCACTGTAGAAAGCAGTGCCCAAAACCCTTAATAAACAAAGGTAAGAGGGATTTGAATGTGGAAACCGACTTCAATGGTGATGCATTATTTTGATGTATCGAAAACACAAAAGAATATTGGATAATGGATTCGGGTGAATTGTTTGTTAGTCATTCCAAAAGTGTAATACATCTCAGGTTGTCAATTCAAATCATGCTAACTAATTGTTTAGATTTGATGATGCAAAACATGTACATTGTTTTATAGTTGTACAAGTCACTGTTGACAATCAGTCTTGGATAAATAAGTATGAATATTACAACTTAGTAAGTTGAGTTGCCTGGAAGCCAAGTTATCTTTGTGTTGTGAGTTGTATTATTATGTATAATGTTGGAGATACCTAATATTGAGGATGGATATATATGTTCTGATCTACCAAACATTGAAATCCAGATGTCAAAGAATGAAGACTAGATCTCAACTACCTTAGTTGATCAGATCCGAAACAAAAGTTGTTGAAGTTTTGGTGCTAATGAAGATCATCCCCTAATGACCAAAAGACACTGAAGGAGTTGTCAACACAAAACCCACTAAAAAGTATTATCAGCACGAAGATCATCATTCACTGATGACTTGATCCACTGGTAGTAATACTCATCAGCTTGTTCAGACACTAATGATAGATCAGTATGTCCATACGTTGAAGTTCTTATACACGGATGACACACTGATGATATAATATGCTGAAGTCGTGAGACGTTGATGATCATATACTATTTGTTGAAGCTGAAGCTAATCAGTGGACGACTCCCTGATGTTGAGGCCCTGATCAGGATATGAGCCGTTGGTGTTGATGCCCGAATCTGTAGCCGATCAGAATTACTTGGTGAAGAAGCATTCTGAAGATCTTATCTGATATGTTCCTTTGAAACATACCAAAAATAAATACCAAAAATTTCTTTTTAAAATCATTTATGAAAACCATATTCCAATCATATCATAATAAAACCATAAGACATGTATCTCAAAACATCATATCTGTCAATGTATCAAAATCATATATCATAAATCAGAGTGAATCCTCCCAGGCTAAAAACAGTGGTGTGTGTCATGCAGTCATCCCGAGCTCTTCCCCTTGCTAGCGGTAGTACCTGAAACCAAAACTGAAAACTGTAAGCACGAAGCTTAGTGAGTCTCCCCAACTACCATATACCATACACATAACACATAAACATATCTTGGGCCCCGCCCCTGCTACATCGAGTCAAACCCGACATCGGCTTTCCCGGCATCGAACCCTATTCGGCATCGGGCCCTGCCCGACATTGAGCAAATTTCAGAATACATAAGAGCATAATCAACAATACACATAAACCTAAGCACATAACGTTAAAACTTAAACATTCCTCGGGCCCCGCCCAACATCGGACCCTAATCTGGTATCATACTAACATTCCTTGGGACTGCCCTGGCATCGAACCGAAGTCCGGAAACATACAATACAAACACATGCAAGAATCACAAAGACATCAAGCATACAAGCATTCCTCGGGACCGCCTCGACATCAGATCGAAATCCGGGAAAAGCGTATAAACCTACATCAGGCCCCGCCTGGCATCAGACCATAGTCCGGAACTACTACTAACTAAACGAGTCGACCTTGGTGCCTTAGACCCGTTCCTACTGGAGGAAACTCACCTCGAATGCTACCTGTGAAATATCGTGTGAGGAATCTCTGACGGCTGCTCCAACGACTCCCCAGCTATCAATTTCACAACAACACTTAAATCAATAACATGATAACTGCTCTTAGGGTAAAATGACCATTTTACCCCTGGTCAAAGTCAACATTCTGGTCAAAGTCAAAGTCAAGGTCAACTCCCAGTTAACCCAACTCGTCGAGTTATCTCCCAAATCAGCGAGTTCCTGTACAACTCAGACTCATGGTCAACCGAGTCAACTCGTCGAGTCCTTTACTGGAATCGCCGAGTTCCCTTGTCTGTTTGGGCTATCTTAATGGATTAAGCCCCTACACTTTAGATCCAAGCTTTATATTTCACAATAACCCTGAAAATGTCCTTTTAAGGGTAAAGTTTCTAACTTTACCCCTTAATACCACTTCTTAAAGGGTTTAGCTCAAACCTTAATTCCTTGGGACCTAGAACTTGGTCCTTAAGCCATCCATTCACCAAACTAAGGCTTACAAATTCAGATCTAATCTCCTAACACTATTTGGACACGTAAAGTTCCAACCTTTCTCCACATGCATGGCCTTTTGGGGCTAAAAAGACCAATATAACACTCTAAGGCTTGTATGGGGGATCCAATGGCATAAAGTTTGCACCTTTATGTCATAACAGCCCCTTTAGGTCCTAGATCTGGAAGATTATCCACTTGGGCCGTCCATTCTCCAAAGGTCATCATTCTTGGGTCAAAACCTTCATAAAAGGGAAAGGAAGAGATCTAATGAACTAGAGGTCAAGATAGAAACTTGATTACCATAAAATGTAGCCAAAGAAGTGTAGTTTCT